TACATTTTATTAAAGAGAAACACACTGTTCAATCCATAACTCTTTCTTCTCTATGATGTTTTCTGTTCCTACTTCATCAAATATGGAGGGTACTATATATATATATTTGTTTTGCTTTTCCTTGTATTAAACATGAACATTATATTCTACTAAGATCATGACTTGGGTATCAGGTCGCAGCATCGTTTGTGTGCCACATTATTTATATTACTACTGTAGTAACTAATACCTTTTTCCTGTAATACTATATCAGATCACTTGGATGTCATTAAAACTCTTTAATTTTTAATGGCAGATTCATATTTCTGCTGCAGTATATGGCTTCTCTCTGTTTGAAATTCCTGAGAGCTATATGGCTCCCAGCAGTCTTTGTTTTGCAGGGAATTCAGCCAATATTTTTATGGATTGCTGATGGAATTCTCCTTGAAATGTGACACAGGCTGTTTAATACCACTGTTTTGGACAAGGCCACGGTTTCTGGTTTCATTACTCACTTGCTAACGTTATTACAAAACAATGATGAAAAATATTTTGTGAATAAACAATAAACCATTTTCCAAAAATCAAAATTGCATCCAAAACATTGTATGCGATGCACTTATATTTTAAAATGCTAAAATGCTGGTTAAAGAAACTGAAAACAGCAGGTATAGATGTTCATAAAAACCATGGCAATTTTATTTTCACCCTTTTTACACATCATGTTCATATTGTGTCAAAAGAAATTAAATTTCAGTTTCGTCTTTTTCATTAGTTTTAAAGAGACAATTAACCCATCACAGTTCCCCTCTTTTTAAAGGTGAGAAGGGTTAAAATGGGACAAAACAGTAAAGTGCTTTAGGAGTAGAATACACGTTGGTTTAAAAATACCTACTTGAAAACGAGTGAACTGTTTGAATTTGCACAGAAATTGTATGGCACTGTTTGCTTAGTGCAGGGAGTTATCATAAGGAACTTGAAGAGATTTCTTTGCGGAATATCTTTTATGAGTTTCCTCTTGAGAATTAAGACAAAGCATCTGATCAAATCTTGCTTAGGGGATTTCTACCTTATTGTTTTGTGAATTACTGTACACGGATATCCTCAAATGAGAAGGCCACCTTCCTGTTTTGCAATGTTTTGCATTTATCAATCATTTTTTTCTTAGAGATCACACCCTCATTTGAAGAGAGAGAATCTTTATTGTCCCCAGGGGGCAATTTGATCTGCAGCACCAGCCAATATAAAGAATCACCAACAAAAACCTTATACAATTACGTACACAAAAGAATCATTTGTTAAGCAAAGTTATAGCCACAGGTGTAAATGAGAACTTAAACCTGTTTGTTTCTAAAATTGGGAAATCTGTATCTGTGTACTGAGGAGAGTAGTTGATATTAAAAAAAGGGTGTGAAGAGTCCTCTAGGATGGAATATGCTTAAAACTCATAACTGATCAGCACCAATCAATTTCTGACATAGTTTAACAATACTCATCATTTTGTCATGTTTCTTAGATTGAGATTCCCAAAAACAGCCAATCAAGGATTCACTAAAAGACTGGTAAAATATGACCAGCAACGAATTATCAACCTGAAAACATAAGCTTCCTTAAGAAAAACAATGTAAATAAAATGTAAATGTAAATGTTTCTTTATTAGCCCTATACAATTTCTTGCATTAGGAATTCGTCTTTTCGCATTCCCCATCTTTTCTCCAAGGAGACACAGACACACAGACACGGAGAGAAGCTTGGGGTCAGAGTGCAGGGTCTGCCATTGTACGGCGCCCCTGGAGCAGTTGGGGTTAAGGGCCTTGCTCAGGGGCCCAACGGAGTAGGATTCCCACCGCTCCGCCCCAAGACATGGTTGCCCTTTTTGAAAGCTGAATCAGTTTGCCTTAAATTTTAATTTGCAGTCCAAAACAGTCCCCAGGTGACTATATTAATCTGCCATCTCCACTGATTCCCCCCTGATGCAGGTTTGAGTGGGGATTTAAGGGGTCTTCCTGAAATGACAGTATGTGATTATCCACAGTATGTGAGCAGCTGGAACAGAAACCACACGCATACGCCATCACAGTCACCAGCCATCCAACAGAGACTGCAATTCTCATCAGCTCTCAGGGATATAAATCATTTCTTCCTGTAACACATTAATTCTATGAGCCTTGCTATGCACAATAATGTGCCAAGACTCATTATCTGCTCGTGCCGGGCTGAAAACAGCTACACTTCAAGGAGTGATCAAGACGTAAAATTCCTGCAGAGATTTACGACAGTTTGAGAGCATCCTGCATATAAGCACTTCAGTAAATTCATATTCCATTAGCTATCCCTGTGTGTATTTCTTCTGAGGCCAGACAGTATAAGAGTGGAAAAAGCATTTTCCTCAAAAGGCCGCTACATTCAAGAACACAGATTAAATATTGATCTATTCCAATAATAGAGAAGAAATGTAAACTATCATATTGCATACATTAAAAAAATAAATTCCAACATATACCACAACACATTGCAGCTCATTGCTGCACTGCATAAGTCAAGAAACAGCATTGCACAGAATTAATTTGAAATGTTATACATTACCAGTGCTTTTTATCAGCACAATCACTGTAGTCCATTTTCTAACTGCTTCTTCCGATTCAGGGTCGTGGGAGAGCTGGAGGCTATACCAGCAAGCAACAAGAGAAAGGCAGGGTACAACCTAGATGAGATACCAGTCCATCACATGGCACACAGAGACAGACACAGGCATGTACACAAGGGCAAATTGTCCCAGAAGCCAATTAATCTACCCGTATGTCTCTGGATTGTGGGAGGAACCTGGAGCACCCAGAGGAAACCCACACAAACAATGGGAGAACATGCAAACTCCATGCAGACAGAACCCTAGGTCAGGAATTGAACCCTGCGCCCCAGCACTGCAAGGTAGCAATGCTAGCGACTGCACCACCATGGTGCCCATCAGTGCTTTTCCTGTCTCCAAAAAATGCAGGTGCGGTTTACAGGAGATGGGTGTCTATTTACTTGTCAAATGTCCTGTAAATTTTATGAATTTCTCATAGTAGCGTCCAAGAAACTGCCAGTAATGCTTCTGATGAAGCTCTTTTAATCTAGTTTCATTTCCATATATATTAATAATAAGGTGATGACGTATATGCTGTTGACAGTTTTTTCTTCAGGCAACTATTTGCAGTGTGTGGTGTTGGAAACACTACAGTGTTGATGACAAAAATCTAACTTCCATCCACTAAACAAAGTCGAACATGCAAAAAATACAAAATTAGGACCTCCAGACTGATATTCTGTATCTTCACAGGTCATCTACTCACGCTGCCAATATCTGCAGTGCACAGCTCTGTGCTGTAAATGACCAGGACTTTTGGGCACCTCCCTGCTGCAACACTCTCCCTTTGCTGACACAGCTTCTGTGTTAGGCTGCAACCTCCCAGCTACAGGCTGATCCCTGATCTCCTGCAGCCACCTTGTGGAAAAAGTGTGTCAATTTTTCCCCCTTAGCAAAATTCAGTTTTTTTTCTGGGATCTGCAAAAGTGGACGTGAACTGTACAAACTCAGTGAATAATTGGCAAATCAGAAACTTGGCGACCACCACCTGGAGAAATTACCTTTTTGAGAAAAAAAAAGACCCTAAAATTAAAATTAAAGAGTAGAATGCTACTATGTACAGTATAAAACAATATATATAGTCAGTTAAACATGGTCACCATGGTCCTGGTTACTTCTAGTTTGATCATTTTGAATTTCAATACTATTCTGCCTGTCAATTCCTGTAGAAAACTGAAATTAACCCGAGACTCACACCGAATAATTTAAACTTTTACTGCATTTAGTCTTAAATATCTTTCTTCTTATTGTCCTCCTCCTTAATTTAACAAGGTAACAAACTACAATCACTATTGTACATTGTAAGGATAATTATGGACGTCTTTGTTTTGTGCTCCTTTAATTAAAAATAGTGCAAGCAAGAAATTTAGGTCAATGGACCCTCACAATTGATCACACAGACCCACTGTGTTTTGAGAATGTGAGGAATATGCATGGTTTGTCTGACCATCACTCAGCACAACATCCTTCTGGCCTGGCAAGGAAGAAAATGGTTATATTGGAATGTGAAAATGAGATTTCTTCAAACATGATAAAATCTATTTTTTATTGAAAACTGTGTTGCAATGCCACAGAGAAACCACAGTGGATTTATTTGAAGAATGACTCTTGCATTTCCTATGTTTATATGAAAAGAACATTGTTTATCTCATTCACACACACACATTAAATGTTATTTAAAGAGGAAAATCCGTAACCATACTTTTTAATGAGGTGGTACAGTAATAAAGGAAACATTAGTATACTGTACCATATTTTGACTTGATGCCATAAAAATTATTATAAAATGAAAATGCACAAATTAAATTTTATAATTTACTACAGTAAAATGAAATATAGAATTTAATAATTATTTTTATTAAAAACATTCACATATAAATAATCTAGAAGTATATTGCTGTATAGTAACTATTATCCCAAAGGAAGGGGATCCCAGGTGTCTCAACCAGCTAGGAGCACAAACTAAGCTCTGTAGTCAGGATGTTAGTGGTTTCGGCTTGGGCTACATCAATAACTGCCTGTGAAAATGATTCATCTTGTGCTGCCAGACCAGACTTGGCAAAGTTAGTCTCAGTTTGCCATGACGTAGAGTCCCTGGGACTTGCCTGTTCTAAGTATGAAATGACATCAGGAAGAGACACCTTCTTCTAATCAGTAGTGTTCTCTCTCCTGCAGGCACAGTGCAGCATGTGCGTCAAATTTTAAATGACTCTCACAGGTAGCTATGTTGGAGGAGAATGAGTGCATGTCTCCATTCTCCCTTTACTGTACAGGGGTTGTAGGAATATATGGATTTGATGAGGAATTAACAATCCCCAAATGGATATGTAAAATTAGAGAAAGATAACCAGCATATAGGCATCTAAAATAAACAACTACACACTTGTTTTACAAATACATTCTCCCCTGCATTTCAAACTTTATTAATGTAGGAATTAAGAGTACACAAGTGTGCATTAAACAAACACCAAAATAAAATTTCAATCTGCCACAACATTTACAATGTACTATTGAAACATAAGACAAACAGGCAGATATACCAAACAAAAAATTCAAAAGTCCTATATAGGTGGCGCATTAGCCATATCTGTATTACAAAAAATAAGTTACTCAACAAAAAGGTATAGTGCCCCTGAGGTACACAAAACATAACTTATGTTTCAAGTAAACCAGTACACAGCAACAACAAAACAAAAGAAAATACTGCTTAGGAGTCACAGTCTCTGTTTGCAAAATAGACACCTTCAATTAATAACGAGGCTTATTACACAACAGCATCACATGCAACTGGAAGTTGTGCAACTACAGGATTGTTTGTCTCCTGTTTTTTTTCAGTGCCACCTGTTGGGACTCTATAGTTATGTTGCAAATAAGAAACTACACACTCAGAAAAGTAGCTAGTAAGACTGGGCTGTCTTAATCTCAGACCTTTCGGCTGTCTGGGTTGTGACAAATGTGCTGGTACTCAAGCTGTAAGTGCTGACACTTCTGCTGGTCTCATCCAGAGACATGAGGGGTGAAATGCTTCTGTCCACTGAGACTTCACTGCTGTCGCCGTCACTTATGAGCACCACTGGCACTCGCTGGGCTGGAACAACAGCACAGGGCAAAAGAAAATAAACATAGGAAACCAACAAGTAACAATGCGAATCAATAAAAAGCCCCTCTGATAAGTGGCATGCAGCAAATTAAAAAACTACACTTCAGAAGCCAAAACCCATGTTTTTATTTTGAATCCAAACCTTTTAATCCCATTATACCCAACACTTAGGAAGTCCTTCTCAACTCTGAAGGTTCTCACCACTTTTGGCAAAGAATATACTGAAATCTTAGATGAAAGACGAGTAAAAACCTTTCTCCTACACCATACAGATTTCAGTTGCTACTGGAAATCGCAGAAAACTGGTGACCTTTACGTACCTCTCACCTTTACGCTGACATACAAGGCTCTTGCGCCTCTCCTTCATCTCAGAGCTCAGGTTCTCAACCATCCTATCGATGCAGTTGTCCAGGACCAGTGAGCGCGTCAAAGAGACGACCCCTTGCCTGCAGATGGGACACTCATCCTTGCGCCTCCTCCAATCCATGATGCAGTGCAGGCAGAAGCTGTGGGCGCAGTTCAGTGTGACAGCCTGGGGCACAGCGCCAGGGACAGGACAAAAACATTTTCTCTGTGATCGAGGCGATCTTGGTCATTTAAGTCAAAATAACGTACTCATGTTAACACATATTCTTGTAAGGACAATGAAAATACAAAAGCACTGAAAACTCTGGTCATATTTAATACCAGAATTACTACATGAAGCCCCAGGAGTGTGATGGTCTTGGATGTAAATGTATGTTTAAATTGATTGGCCTTTTAAAACAAAACAAGCAGTTTCAAATGTGAGAAGAAAAAAAAAGTTTTTAGTATCACAAAGGGCTTTTGCAGTTTGGAAGCCTAATAATACCACCACACAAAAGTGTTAAAAACAGACAGAACTAGGAGCTCTTCCTCACCCTGGTCAGCTGCTGTGACGAGGGTGGTGTAGTGTGGGATGTGTTGCTGTTATCAGACAACACTTCATGTCTTCAGAGCAGATTCCCATTAGCCAGGCTGGACTGTGCAACCCCACATAAGTTCCCCGGCCAGCCATGTCTCCCAGCAATGAGGGAATGTTATTGAGGAAACTGTGAATCATAACCGTGGCATCATCTGGCCTGTCTTGATGTTCAGATGCTGATGTGATAGCTATTTTTAAAATCTAGTAACAAAGTTTCAGACAAGGGTTCAATGCAAAATGACTAATGGGGATTTTCAAGAAAGTCCTAAAACAGACTGCTCATTTTAACAATCTCCCTATGTGTAACAACTACGTATGATTACCCCGAGTCCACTGAATTCCTTTACCTCAATAAAATACTCTGAGCAAATGATACACTGCAGTTCGTTCTCCAGCACTTCAGCCATCTGCGTCAATACTTCTTCCTTCTGGGCTCTTGCCTTCTCCTTTGCTTCCTGCAGGAATCAATTTTCCCCAGAATGGCATTTTTTAAATTAATAATAAAACAAACACATATTTACCAGAAAAATAAATGCCAACTTTCCTGTCAATACAAACTATCATTTTTCACAATATTACATGTTCATGAACGCCCTCTGTTTCAATAAAGCTTACTTTAATTTAGGAACTTTGAACAACTGTCTAACTAAATACTCTTTAGTTGAGCTTCTCTTTTAGGACTGAAACGTATTAATCAAGTTCCTCTTTGATTTTACTTCCCACTTAATGGGCTTCATAACGGGGAAATGTTTAAAAAAGCAAGAGGAACACCGGTTCCCTTTTCTGCTGCTTAGCAAGAAAATGTGAAGCCTCTGCGTTTGAATAAGTATTTGTTCTCATTTTAAATTTGGATATTTAAAGAATTCCATTTCCCAGAAAGTATTGTTCTGTGCAAAAAGTCACAGCACAGTTCAGTGACATTTTGAAGTGAGTTTATTTATGGACGGGTCCTTCTGGAAAGCACAGCAAAATCATGCTCTAAATACAAATCATTCTCAAGGGACTTTTTAGAATGCAAGTGAAGCCTTGGCCTAAAGTAACTTGTGTTACCATAAAAGTCAAAACAAAGACCAAGACAGAACATACAGTTGTGGCACCCCTGGCTACATTGTTATTCTAATAAATCTCTAAGTGAACAGAAGGTGACAACTCTGTATGGTACAAAGTTAAACTCCAAATCTTTCTGCAAATTAAAATGCAAAATTACTATTTGCTGATTTTAAAAGATAAAAATAAAATAATAAAATAATAAAATAAAAATAAAGTGCTGCATAAGTGAATGTGTCATGTGCAATAGTTTAGACAGCCTCTAGCTGTGTCCTTACTACTTTCTGAATTTGCATTTTTCTAAGGCCCCAACACGTGATGGGTTTGTTGAGCCTTAAATTAAGTCAGGTGAAGACTATTCCAGAGTTGAACAAAAACTCTATCTCAAATACTAACCTCTTCTAAGCAGCTGCCTGAGGACTTGAAAACAAAGGTTATTCATTCTTACAAAGCAGAGAAAGGCCATAAAAAGGTCTCTAAACTCTTCAACCTTGGAATTTCAACTGTCAGAACCATCATTAAGAAATGGAAGTTTTACAGGGAACTGTTGAAATCAAGTAAAGATCTGAAAGTCCCAGTGCAATCTCAGATATGAACTGGTCAGATCTGCAAAGCAATACCCACAGATCACTGCAAAGGACCTGCAGAAAGGTTGAGCTGACTCTGGAGTAGTTGACCACAGGTCCACAGTACAGCATTGCTTACAGGAAAAAAAAAAGATCTGCATGGAAGAGTTGTCAGAATAAAACATCCTCATCACATAAGTCAATGTTTAAACTATGCAAAACAAAACCTTGGTAAGTCAGAAACTTTTTGGAAGAAGGTGCTGTGGACTAATGAAAAAAGGGTGAAGCCTTTGAAGGAAACAACAGATTTGTCAAGGTGTTAAGCATGGGGGTGGATAACATTATGCTTTGGGGTTGAGCAACAGCCAGTGGCACAGGAAATATTGTTTAAGAATGGATTCAACTAATTAACAACAAATCCTACAAGCTAATGTACCAGAGTCAGTGAAGCAATTCTAGGGCAGAGCGGTGGCACTGTGGCTAAGGATCAGCGCCTGTGGCTGGAAGGTTGCCGGTTCGTATCCCACGACCGGCAGAGAAATCCTACTCCGTTTGGCCCCTGAGCAAGGTCCTTGACCCCAACTGCTTCAGGGGCACTGTACAATGGCTGACCTTGCGCTCTGACCCCAAGCTTCTCTCCCTGTCTGTGTCTCATGGAAAGCAAGCTGGGGTATGTGAAAAGACAAATTGCTAATGCAAGAAATTGTATATGGCTAATAAAGTGATCTTATCTTATAAATTGAAGCTGAAAAGAGGTTGGATATTTTTGCAAGTGAAATATACCCCCAAAATCAATGATGAAATACATACAGGAATGAAAGATTAAAGGTTTGGAAAGGCCTTCACAGTCTCCAGATCACACATAAGCAGTGCATGTAAGAGTTCTACAAGGAAGATTGGGAAAAAAATTCTAAAAGCAAGAACAGAAAGACTCTTAGCTGACTACAGGAAAAATTTTAAGGCTGTGAAAGGAGGTGTTACTAAGTACTATTGCATGTGCCATATTCACTGTTTAAGTATTTTGAAATTCTACAAAACTGTAAATACTAACTGTCCATTGAAATTTGCAAAAGATCACATGTTTAAGTTTGTACCATGCAGAGGATGTGTCAACTTCTTTTCCCTTAGAGATTCACTGAAACAAATTTGACCAGGGATGCCTATACCTATACTTTTACCCTGAACTATATATTTAATCATGGAATAAAACATGGTTGTCTGGGAAAATCACAAAATCAGCAAAACAGCCAAGGAAGTCAAACAACAGGTCCACCTGTGTGAATGGTAACCATTCAAAGCAATTCTCAGAACTTCTAATCCCACAAAGATCCTGCAGCTATTGGCAATTACATGCTTTGCCTACCTTGGTCTCTTCCAATTCCTTGTCTTTAGCTTGGATGATTTCTTCAAAGTCTTTGCGGGAACGTCTCAGTTCTTCTATCACCTGTCGATGCTACCGAAATGAAAACACAGACTGAGAGACTGTCAGAGACCAGGAATGGCAGGAATGAGTCTGCTTAGGCTTTAACCAGTGTGGCTGAGAAGAGAGAGCCTGGTCACTAGCACAAAACAGCCAAAGCCCTCAAATGAAGGAAGAGGCAGCTGCAGGGGCATATAGACAGAAAACTATGAACATAACAGCAGTAACAGCTGTTCCCACACTTAAGAGTGGATACAGCAAAAATACTAACTTCATAATGGCTAGATTTCAATATATATAAAACTTATCTAGTTCAGTAAAAACATCAGTGTTGATTACAGTAATGAGAAACAGAAATGAAAAGTGATTCACTTAGTGATGAGACACATATTCAGATATTTGAATACGTTTTTATAAACAGGCCTACATCCTAACCAAACGATAAAAGTGTTTCTCCAAAAGTACAACTCAAAAAAATGCTGAGTATCTATTTAAAAAAGGAATGCACAAACTACTCCAGATTGCCAGAGAGAAATGGTTTGAACATGAAGAGCTCATGTACATCTTTTAGACAATGTAGTGAAGCAATAAAAAGGGAAAAAGAACATTACAATAGTTAAGAGCATAAAATTAATATCAAGCGATGCTATACTAAAATTATACAATACACCAGTATCACATCATACTTTTACAGGTTAAAGAAAATGAACTTTATTAGTCTTTGAGGAGCCCTGATGCACTCAATCCAAAAAATAAAAAGAAGCATTAAAGACTAAATATTTATAACAAAGAACAGGATGCACACAAAAGTTTTTTGCACTGAATTGTTGAAGTCTGGATCAAGCTACCCATCTCTTAATGAGGATGATACCATTGGTTTTTCAAGAAATGACTGGATTAGATCAACCAAATGTTTACAAACCAGCAGATATATGAACAACCCCGAAGTTGTCTGCTGTTTCTTGTCTGTTGTTAACAGACGTACATAAAGAATGAAAGGATGTTTAGCAAAATCATTAGATGATGTGAGGAACCCAAACTGCTCTTGTTCTATAGTTTACTTGGTTAAATGAAGCAGTTCTGTAAGCATAAAAAGAAAAAAAAATCATACTGTAATAAACACTATTACATCGATTTTCTGTTGCAATCATTTATCCCAAACCATCCTGAATGATTTGCAAATGTCCTATTTCAAGCTGTTTCTAACCCTGGTCACCGCTGTCAGTGTAACAAAGAACAGGTGGCTACACTGGAAGCTCTAAATTAAACCCATTCTTTTTTTCAGCAGCTATTTTACGTGTATTTAGATAATTTATGGGCTAATGAGCTCTGTTCTCTGTTTTACCTTTTGCAAAGCATCGTCCAATTTCTTGTTCAAGCTCTCTTCTTCTTGTTGTTTCTTTTCATCCTAAAAAAAGTAATCATTAGTGCTTAAAAGATCTTCAAGCAGAAAGATACATATAAAAAATATTTTTAACTTGACACACTAGACAATGGCATCATCATACACCATTTATATTCAAGAAAACTGACAACTATATTCTGCCCTCCCTCCCAAATTGAGAACAACTATGCATCAACTATACATTGTTTAATTAGTTTTGCACTTCTTAAGACATATTTTGCATTAAAAAACACACTGAGGCATCCATGGGCCAGATTAAATGACAGTTCTGACCAAATCACAAATTACACACCCTGTGTTGAAGGCCATGGTTTTGTTTGATAGCAAACCCTTCCTTCCACCCACCAGAAAATCAATATCAACTAACAGGTCTGTAATTTGGCCCAGGTATGTGGGACAAAACAAGGAGTTATGGGCCCAAATCAGCAGTCTTCGAACATACACCTGAACTGTAATCTGGGATTCGTTACAGATGATATGGGCTCTAAGCACTATATTTGCACCAAGAAACAAATGTCACAGCTACCGTTGAACCTATTCTTGGAGAGAGTTCACAAATAAGGTTAACTGCAAGGTGACAATAAAACCTGAGTTCCACCTGCTTCAAACATCACTGGTGCCTTTACCTTTCACCACTCTCCAGAAAATACAGACCACTCAAAATGTTCCCGTGTATTTCACCTCTCCCAAAACCAGACACTTCAAGATTAATTTCCGGGGTGCCCCTTTTCCGTAATGCTGGAAAAAGTCTGATTGGAAAAGAAAAAATATGCAAAACCTTTTAAAGAGTTCAAGAATGCCTCTGGCTCTTTAAAGGCTGATGTACATTGACCAGGAACAGCACGTGTGTCACGGAAAATTAATTTTGATGATCTGGGTTTTGGAAACCACGCTGCACGTTTGAAAAATACGGCTGTGGAGGAGGTGAGAATATTAAAACGGTTTAAATGTCGGAGGAGCAGTCCTCAGCACAGCCTGGCCCGACCCCACCACCTCTAGCCCATCCGCTCTTACTTCCAGCCGCCTCTCCTCCTCGCAGAAGGTCTTCTCCAGCTGCTCCACCCGGCGCAGCTGCTGCTGCTGCTCGCTATGCAGCTGCTCCTTCAGCACCTCCAGGCGGCCCTGCAGCTGCTCCAGCTCCTCGCTAGGGGGCACCGGCTGGGCCTGCAGGCTCGCGGCGCGCCGCTCCGTCTCCTGGACCTTTTTCTTCAGCACCCGCATCTTCCTGATGTACCTCTGGAAGCAGGCCAGCTCCGAGCTGCAGTGGGCGTTCTTCTGCGGCTTCTCTGACCCGCCGGCGGCCGCGGGGGAGCTCGGGGGGGTCCTACTGGGTCCAGCCGGCTCCGCGGTCTGGATGTTCTGTACCGGCGGCTGCTGAACTGCAGCACATGAGCTGCCCTGGGGTTGCGGCTCCGCATGGGACCAGCGAGACAGTTTGGCTTTGGCGTCGGAGGTATTCCCGGGGTCCAGTTCCCCCCCGCTGTATTTCCTCTTGGTCCTTTTCAGTCTGGAGCCCGCTGCTTCCTCCTCGACCGGCTCCTTTAACAAGAAAGGCTTGACGCTCTTCAAGCAGTCCCGCACCAGAACGTACTCGAACTCCACTTCCTTACCACCCAGGGGCACTCCCAGCTGAATGGTGTCCCCCACGTGCAGCGTGTGCGTCCTCTCGGGAGTGATACGCAGACCATTCACCCACACGCCATTCAAGCTCTAGGGTGGGAGAGAATTAAAGGATCACACAAAGTCCAGCCGAATGAGAGAAAATCAATTTCAACTGCAGATTTCATATCAGTCTTTTTGAATCTGATGCTCAGGAGGACAAACTGCTTCCTACGAGCACATTAGCTCTAATTGTGTACTGGCCAGAAACCTTTGTTATTATAAAATCAAAAGACTTCAATTAATCTGCAGAGCATAATCCTGTTGTTCCAAAACTATGTGAAAAGATGCAGAGCCGTCAGAGCCAGATGCAGAACACATTTAAATTTGAGGTATTACTCAATACTCTTTACAGATGGCTCTAAGTGTAAAGAATAAGGTGAATGGACCACTGTCGCTGCACTGCTCATGCAACCTTCACGAGCAATTTGATGCAACAAAATGCCTTGAACTCATTTCAGAACTGGTGTTAAGTAAAACTTTCAGGTTATGCTGGAACTGAGAATGCTGCAAACTGAGAACGTCATGTCACTCTTGAACTAGTACATCCTCGAAATGGGGCTGAATCACAGCTTTTACCAGATCAGTGTGGCTGGGAGCAAACTGTGGCAAGGCTACTTTAAATCTTTTTTTGTCAAGCTTCTGAAACCATGCAACTTCATTTAAAAGAAAAGACGTTACCACACAAAAAATGCACATACTTCAAAAATATAAATAAAACATGACCTTCCTTTCACACTGCAATGATTTGCATACATCACAACTTTTGGTAAAATCCCTGCCTGTTTCATGCACATTTTTTTAGACGTATTATTTCTCATTAACTGTTTTCTTCAATTGCTTCCAATGTGAGAAGCACTCTACCAGAATTATTACATTTTATGATGACAGCAATACAAATATAGAATCTGTGTCAGGCAATAAACCCCATTTAGTTAAAAATCACCCCTATATCTACTTTTTTTCGGGTCCTACCACATAGCATGCTTTTCAAAAAGCAGGCTCAAAATACACTGCAATGTATTTCCCTGTGTCTCACCCATTTATCATTATAACTCACATTTCAACATGTCCTGAAACATTTCTACACTTCTTTTACAAAATAAAGAGTAAACACATGTATATCTCACTTTTATTTTCATTTTCAGTGACATTTACTTCAGGATTCTTCTAAGAATATAAGCATCCTCACAGATTCTTTGGTGAAGGTGGTCTTGCCTGACATCTAGTGGCTCGGTTCATAGTCCCTGGCCTGTACACAATGAAGTCATGGTCAGAAGGAATAAGTTGATTGACAACTTTTCCTGCAATATTGTCCTTGCTACAGGGGTGGTCACACACAAAAATATAACCTGTCTGTAAACGCTCACTACACATCAGCTGTCAGTGGGAAGGAGAGCAGAGTAAAGAAGCCAATTCCTAGATTTGGATTGTCAGGAGACCATGATTGGTAAGGGCCAATGGGAAATATGGCCAGGACACCAGGGTAACACCCCTACTCTCTTCAAGAAACACCCTGGGATTTTTAATGACCAAAGAGAATCAGGACTTCAGTTTTCCTTCTCATCCGAAGGACTGCACCTGTTTACAGTATAGTGTCCCCGTCACTATACTGGGGCATTAGGACCCACATAGACCGCAGGGTGAGCGCCCCCTCCTGGCCCCACTAACACCTCTTCCAGCAGCAACCTTAGTTTTTCCCAGGAGGTCTCCCATCCAGGTACTGACCAGGCTGACACCCACTGAGCTTCAGTGGGTTGCTGGTTGGAAGTTGCACGATGACATGGCTGCTGGGTGCTGTTAGGCACCAACTTCTTTTCTGTGATGTGTTAGTCTGATGCCTGGCTGTGTTGAGGAATATGAGCCATTGCTATTTCCGTGTAAACATGTGCCACTGCCTGAGAGTTGTTGCCTAGTTGCACTGCACCTGAGTCCATTTCTTAGTCTGCACATTTGATTAGATCCCTGGGAAGTGCCTATAAGCACGAAACCCAAGAAATGCCCATCCGGAACTAGAATAGTGCATCTGTGTACTAGTAAACCTGTCTGCATTTTATATCTACTTCATACACAATGCAGAAACCTTCTCTAAATCTTCGATTACGGTAGCCTATACATCTGTTAAGCTTTACGTATCGGGTTTAGTCCACCAGCAGTGAACATGCGAAGAATGACTGAGGCATAAGCTGTAGCTGTAGTGTTGGCTGGGTCTACATGTTTCATGGGGTTTGTCCAGCTTCCAGTCTACCTCTTGCTGATGGCGATGGTCACAAACAATAACTGTTGCTGTTGATTAATAGAATTGTCAGTATCCGACTAAAAATTGGAGAACTTGATCAATCCAACAAGCTTCAAAGAGATATACGTCTCCAAGCATTTGCTTCTTTCTGTACACAAATGTGTTGCTGTCCGTTCTGTCACATTAACACCAATTTTGCTAGAGGCGCCAAATGGCCTCCTCTTGTCTGTAACCTCTTCTAACATTTCGATACATATTACATTAATTGCTTTATTATATTTTTAATGGCGTCTACAGGAACAAAAAAAAAAACACTGCAATTTGATCCTAACAGAAATATACTGTATTTTTAATATACTGTAACAGGTATTTTTGTAGATAAATTTAGGTATATATTAATATGTAGAAATATTCTGTATTTCAAAATTCTACAGCTTGGATTATATGGATAATTTTGTTTCTGTCTTGGATTCAGATCGGTGAACAAATTATTCATATTGTAAGGCAACAGAAACACATCATCATTAATCGCATTCAAGAAAATAAAATCTCTTTTTAAACGGTTTTAAAATGATCAAGGCTTTATATAAATGTTATTTTTGCCTCTCGACTAGACTACTGTATTTAACTAGGCATTTATAGTAACTGTTTATTAACGGTTAATGTAAGGGTTAGCAGATTTTAGATCACTTGATTTAAGTTTCAATAAGTTATATGAACATTTTAAACTCTTAATCTCTAAGAACCATTTTTACCCTGAATTTAATGCTTAGGAAAGGAGGCAGTGTTGAAAGGGGGAGTCTATTTCAGAAACTGGTCTACTCCTCTGCACAGTGGGGACTTCATCTTTTTTTGTGAATTCAATTCACAAGTGGAATATTAGTCTAAAACAAGGCTCATACTTATCTTGCGATGCCTGATGCGACAAACTCTATGATGTCCAGTGATTTATGAAAACAATACTTCAGAGCATTACGATTTATCACTGTAAAGTGTGTATATGACAACATTTTTTTCATTTGGTCTTTTTCATAACATATCTGTACCTATCTGAAAAAATGCTACAGGAGGGTTTATGGAATCCAGCGCTAGCTTTAGGTCACTTGCTATGCAAGGAAACACCTCTAAGATTTTTCTACAATTCTACAATTTGCAGAACAATAACCTGATTAAATACTGAACATGTACATCATTTTATTAATGTTCTTATTAATTCATAAATGCACGTACAAACTGCATTTCATAATACTAGAGATCATATTACATATGCAGCAAAACCAACCCATACTAATATTTAGTTATAGGTCAACTATAACTAAATATTATTTTTAGTGTGGCGGGGCAGTGGCCTTGTGGTTAAGGATCTGTGCCTGTGGCTGGAAGGTTGCCGGTTCGTATCCCGTGGCTGGCAGAGGAATCCGTCTCCATTGGGCCCCTGAGCAAGGCCTTTAACCCCAACTGCTCCAGGAGTGCCGTATAAATGTCTGACCCCGGGCTCTGACCCCAAGCCTCTTTCCCTGTCTGTGTGTCTGATGGAGAGCAAGTTGGGGTACGCAAAAAGACAAATTCCTATTACAAGAAACTGTATATAGCCAATAAAGTGATCTTATCTGTTATCTTATCTATTCACAAACCACATCTCAGGAATGTTCGGCCAACATTCACAGTGTCTTCAGGCAGAATAACAACTATGGGACCATTAGCAGTCTACCAGAAATTGAAACACAAAATCCAAAACCTATGCAAATAATACCCAACATAGTATGAAACTGAAATAAAGGCTCTACCTTATTATCTGTCACTGTCCAATGTCCCTCTTCATTTTGTTTGAATTTGCAGTGGTTTCTGGAAATCATTAAAGGACAGCTCCTTGACAGGGTTTGATAAGTGACATCAAAGCTTCGCCCAAGTGTCACCTAAGACAAGAAGAGGCATTATTAAAAATCAAGGTTTACTACTGAGGGCCTCTAGGCAAAGAATTACTACTGTTCTCCTGAACTTTAAAATGTAGCTTGACTTTACAACTTGACAAGCACTGAGGAACTTCAGATAAGATTTCTTTACTAGTGCAGTTGCAAAATACATGCGCCACTTGAAGGGAGTTTATTTTTGTTTGAAAGCTTAAATCATCTAAATCCGATTATTGCAACGTGCTTTTTAAAATTGTACCAATAGTATGCAGGCGATTAACGAAGACAAATGTTATTTTGATCCTTTAAACGATGAAGAGGGTGGGCTTTCAGATAGGTATAACAAAATAAACAAATTATTTATCTGTTTGTATTTTTAAACATGTAAATGTATGTGCAAGGAATAGTCGCTAGTGTTTCAATTACACTCGGATCCAGGTAGATGTGTAAACCGGGGAAACAGGAGTTAGGGGACTTCACCAATTCCACATTTTCATCACTTTCAGGTGACGAGTTCCGTTCTGCAGTGATAAACACCCCAGAATACAAACATGGATATGCTTCTGAAAAAAATATTATTGCATAACTAAAAAAACACCGTCTATTGCGATCCCATGTAACCCCATCCCTCCGCAATCATCGTCATTCGGCACAAAACACACATGAGATGTATTAAAAAGTAAAAGACTTGAAAACAGAAGCACGCAGCTCCGGTGATTAGGATCATATTTGCAACTTTTTAAGACTCAAAATACAATTAAGACATTTTTGCAGGTACGCCACTTAACTAAAAGTGTGAAGGGGGAGGGGTGTTTAGTACTGAAAGAGTAAATGAGAGGTAAGAGAACAAGACCTCTTCTTTCTCGGGCAGACGGAGCCACTCAGCCCTTTTTCCGACTCTTCTCAGGCACCAAATTTCATCTTTCGCGGCATCGTCTTCCTCGCCTGAAACCGCTCCAGACTCTGCTTCCTCTGCCATTATCCTCAGCCCATGACACTACCTCAATAACACAAAAAGTTAAACGCCCATAATTCCACGCTCTCTTGTGGTATTCACGTTCCTGCGCGCTTTTCCGGCGTGAAGCGCTGAACACCATAGAGGTTCTAAAAAAAAGGAGCGTTTCGTCACGTATCTGAAGGAATATCAGCGCCATCTTGGTGGGGTGGAGGACAAAAAAGATCTAACTCAGAATTCATTACATTATTATTCATTACACTTTAAAACATGATCATTTCTCTTTGTTAATCAAGTATTTGTGTTAATATACTCTAAAACATTTAATGTGCAAATATACAAAGCTAATTTATTATGTAACCCACACCATTTCCATTACTGAATATTTTCTATCAAAAGGAGGAGACAATGGGCATACATTATGAGATAACTTTTTATCAATATTGGCGGTAAATAGGTTCTGTATATATTTAGAAGTGCAGAGCGAATCTAACAATTAAACTGAAAATGAATGAAAAATACTGTTGGCTATCACTGGCCTCTCTATTTCTCATTTTGCAAGATTTTTTCTGTTTTTCGGAATTGTGCTCCTTGGAACATATTTGTACAGAAGGAATGGTAATCCATTATTTAGCCACATACATTAGTAGTTAGAGAACAAACAGTAAAATGTAGAAGGGGGAACAGAAGTAATCAGGAGGAGCAGGGTTTCCTTTCTGTAAGCACACAATAGCTACACCTACGTACCTGTAATCTGTTTTAAATATGCACATAAAGAAATGTGTGCGTTCTCTGAAACAGTCGACACATCTTTGTGTTTTTTACAATGTAAATGATGGGACTCTTTCAGCAAGAGAAATGTAATAAATGAGATTAGGGACAAACAATAGTTATGTATATGTGCTACTGAATGTGCATTTCTAGGCAATTTATCTGCTTCTGTTGGTAGCTGTGGATGGCTAAGGGAACAGTGGACAAAAATAGCAAAACAACGGAGATGTTTTCTTTGATGATTGTGAGAATAGAAAGGATGTTGATATCCGCTCTCAAGACTGACTTACAAAGTCTTTGAAACAATAAGAAAAATAGATTTTTGTAAGGCAGAACATGCTGTAGAGGAGGTATGGAGTGCATCAGCAGGTTTGTAATACACAGAAACCTTCAATTCCAGGTGGCTAATATACCTACTTTTTGTATGTGCAGAAAAAGAAGAGGAGTGAAAGAGATGGATGGAAGTGGGTGAAGTGATGTAAAATTGCTGTAGTAGATTGCTAGAGCAGGTAGCAGCACCAACAAATTCATCATTGTATCAACGTCACCTAAGAAGTATCTTGCTTGTCCACAATCTCGTTTCATAGATCTCTTGCAGACAGCACTGCCATTAACACTGAAGAACTGGCGATGTGTTTCAGGCAGAACATGTGAACAGTAAGGATCAAAGGTTTCACCAAGACAACAGTTCCCTGATATACTGCACCTCTCTCAGACATTATTACATTGAACTTTGTCTTTTTCACATCTTCTGCCAGCTTGCAATCCTTGAAATCTCTCCGTTCATTTACAGATTTCTGCCTTAAACATTGCTCCACCGAATTCCATGTCTTTGGAGGACCCAGATTCAGATTCAAAGAACTTTATTGGCTTGACTGATGAATTATACAGTAGTGTTGCCAAAGCAGAAACAATGAACAAATCATTTACATTTACAGTAAAAAAAAACATACTTTATTATTGGACATTGAAAGACATCATATAAAACTTTATTCTGAGACAGGCTCACTATATGTTCCTCAGGCTGTGAAAGGACAACACTGGGCTGCCGGCTCTGGGGAGTTTCCTCCCCGCTCCAACAACAGGATTGGAAACCATCCCGATTCTGGAAGGAGTGAGGCACCTTTTTTCATCTGCAGTGCCCATCCTTACATACCCTCTATGTGTTCTCCTTAAAGCCCCCTTTTCTTGTATCCCTTTTCTCTCCATCCTTCTTTCACATACTCACAGAAGAATCCACAGCTGAAATGTTGCATTTTTAATATTTTTTTCTTTCTACTTCCAGCATGGAATTAACCTCTCCTTGTTCCTGCTCTTCAGCTCCCACACTCGAACCTCTTAAACATACCATATTTGTATTTCAAATTTATATAATATTATAGTATAGTATAGTATATAATATTTAATATTTTCAATCCAGTTTTCCTTCTTTTTCATCGAGCAATATTAAGACACATTTGTGAAAGACTACAGTTGATTAATGAAGTAGACTTTTCCGTTTTGCGATTACATTACTAAGAACTACAGAAATGCTTCTTTCAAGAAAACACTAAATTTAACTCCACCTTCTGACAAATCCTGTGAATCAGTCCTTGAGTTAGAAAAAGTTAGAGTTAGTGGAGACAAAAATAAGGAGAGTGTTTCTTTGTTCTATATGAGTATTTGCACCTAAAAGGTATAATAAACAAAATATATAATTTAGATGTTTAACTACCACAGCTTTTGAAATCAAAGACTTCTGCAAAGAATGTTTATATTTTGTGATGCAATTGTATTGTTAATTATCAGGTGTATTATCAATAGTGAAAACTGCACAGTTTAATTGTTATTAATTTATTTAATTCGACACTTTAAAAACTGATTTAAAATATCATAACACTCTAACAAAACTTTTTGATCATTTCCAGAAAAAGTGATGATGGCTTGTTTGGGTGAGATTTAAATGTGAACAAAAAAGGTGTGGTTGCTTATACTTCCTTTAACAATGTTTGTACTATAATATTTTGTGTGCAATAAACAATGTAAGTCAGATAAGTCACTTTGACCAAATAACACATTGTTATTTTAGCCCTGCAAATGAATACGGTTTGGCATTGTCAGCACATTTAATTCCTTTTGTTTTTTCTGTTGCTTCCTCGAATATAGAGGTCATTGATCTAGCTTTCCTCTTGTGTGTGGGAATTTCACATCGTAGCACAGATGCTTTTTGTACTTTGCACAACCCTCTGTCCTCTCAAAGGCACCTTTTTATTTTGTTTGAGGTTTTGATATGCACATACAGTAACAATTAGAGAAAATAAATCCAAGCCCCTTGTTGACTGTGACTAACCTTAATCTGAGTTCTTAATATCTAAAGAAAATGTCAGGTGTTACACGAGTCAAACATAGTTTAAGCTTCAATACATGGTTTGGAAGACTGATATTCATTATTGTCCAAGCCCCTTGTTGACTGTGACTAACCTTAATCTGAGTTCTTAATATCTAAAGAAAATGTCAGGCGTTACACGAGTCAAACATAGTTTAAGCTTCAATACATGGTTTGGAAGACTGATATTCATTTATTGTCCCACGGGTGTAAATTTCAGTCTCTTTTTGCCATGCATCTGCATCCATCCCTCAAGCCTCTCCACAATAGAGATGTGGAGTTTGAACATAAACTCAGAATGACAGAGTTGCACAAAAGGAGACAAAACAGATGGGGATGATAAAGTTCCACATCACTAGAATGGGATCTATTGTCTGTAATACAGTATATTGAACAGGCTTCTCGGAAAGGAAAGCAACAACTAAAACCAATTAAAACTGCTAAAGATTTTGAAGTGAACGTTCTCAGGAGCAACTGAAGCCCTGAAGCTTTTGTCTTTCTTTCCATATAGTGTTTCTTTCTGAAATATTCCTTAAATTCATTTAAGGCTTACATTTCTTAGTAATCTGAGAATGCCGTCACCAAAATATTAGTTTCCAGCTACCTACAGATGAAAATCATACACTTTCATACTTTGCAGGGTTTTGTTAATTTAAGAATGAAATATAATGTATTTGTGCAGTCACAGATGTGCACAAAGAATAATGTTACAGTAGTATGCAGTTCTGAGTCTCATTAGAGGAAACCTTCTAATGTACATACTTGCTTTTGAGTAATGGTGCCAATACAGAAAAGAAAAAGAGAAAAAACAATCATGGTAAAATACAAGAAAATGAATAGAAATTTAGCAGTTCCAGGAATTAATTACACTTTGGAATTAAACAAGCTTGCCAGATTTCTTATCAAACTTTGATGCTTTCATTTTTAAAATCTTCTGTATTTTAGTTACATTACCTTATGAATTTTGCTACTTAAAATCTCAGTAGATGTCTTGCACATACTGTATTTTACACACACAGAAAGTGGTTTGCATTCTGTAACCCTGGGGTGACGATTCAAGATAAGAGAGTCTATATACAGTATATGGCAATACATAGATATGTCATTAAAAAAAAGAAGGTAACACAAGCCTTGTTTACCCACTGTTACCGTGTCATACAGCTGTCAAGAAAATGTTTTATAAGGGAAACGTTAAGGTGAAAACAGTACAATTATAAAGACAGGCAAGCAATGCAAAATAAACGTTTACTGGCAAATTCAACATACGCCTTTAAAACTTTAGCTTCAGGGTCTTTATATACAGTACAATGAAATCTGCAAACTAATTTGATGAATTACTGCTCCCCTGAAAGGAAGAGTAATTTAAGATTTAATCCACACAGGCATTTAGGATTAACAGAAAAAAAAAGATGTTAATTCAGAAATCCATTTTAATCTTCTTAACCTTAACCTTTCATAAAATTGGCTTTTCCATGTATTGTTATCCATTCGGCCAACAGCTGTGTCAGAACTAACTTAGACGATGTAAATATTTCATACACATCTCAGAAACTTCGGGTAAAGAAATTAAATTTGAACACCAAGAAGAGTCGTATAATAAAAGGTTGCTCCATAAACAAATTACTTACGAATAAAAGTATATTGGTTTATTGTGCCATTAAAATATAAAAATCAATACAATAAAAATGACTTAGTATTTTTCCAGAACTGATGAAGCTTTAAAAAAATAAAACATTAAAATGGGCAACCCTCAACCCAATGAAATTACCCTGCTTTTCACATTCTCCAACATGAACACAGACCTCTCTTCTGAGCATGTCAGTGAAGCCCTCTCGAAGCACAAAATCACAGTGCTTACATCTGCTCCATTTTGTGCTTGTATTGACGTGTACTGTATATGTTTGTCTCCAATTCAAGGACAGCATCAAAAGACAAAATCTCATTAGTCAGGTCATCCAAATGCAGTTTAAAACT